TCTTTTATATAGACCCAACCATTTGGCCAACAGCTTGCACTGCTTGCACCCGCCAAAGCCAAACACATCGACCGAGTGTCGCAGCTGCAGCTGAACGAACATATCCGCTTCATCAGCCCCCCAGGTCACCTAGCATCGGACGAACGAGATCGTCGAGCATCGGCCGAGGGCAGTCCGAAGCCTGGCTGATCAAACTGGTGCGACAACAAGGGGATGAAACCACTTACCCGGTATTACCCCCCACTATATAACTATTATATCATATAACTATACTATGATTGAATCCATTCCGAACATTTCCTATTCCTTTTACAATAGTGGATGACATGGACAAACAAACAAAACCAATGGATTGGAACATGTTGGGTATGCAAAAGAAAGGAACAGGATCAAACTGACCCTTCATCTGAATGAATTCCCTGAAGAGCCTCACAAAGGATGGCAATGGATCCCCAAAAACGAAACGGGTAGAGGTAGGAGGCAGTAGACTCAGTTAGAGGGATGTAGAGGGTATACAATGACCCCAACTGCAAAACAAATCTCATCAACACCCTGGCCGTAGCGGAGGTGTTTTCCTTCGCATGTTTTCTCACCCTTTTGTTAACTCCTTCGTACCCGCCCTGCCCCGTCTCCGCTAAGCGCATCTCCAAGTCGCAACCCTATCGCACCCGGGGTACCACAGCACGAAGGATGAAGAGGCGCCGGTCAAGACCGGCGACGATGACTCCGACACGATGGCGGAAAGCGTCTCCTTATGAAGTGCACATCGACACAAACACAAACGTTGGTTGCCGAAACGTGCTTTGTTCCCGAAAACGGCGTGACTTCAGAAAACCATGCATGCCGCTGCTTCATGTTTTCCACATCATTGACAGAATCACTGATAATACCTTGTAAACTAGCGTGTGTTTTTGAGCCTAAGCTGGGCTGTCTTCCATAAATATAGCATTATGCATCTCTTCCTGCAACCTTCAACCTCTTGCGTTAATGCGGCGTCAGCGTTGCACTTTTCAATCCCTACGTTGGGGTCATTTGAACCGTGGACTGCCGACTACGGGGCACAGGTTTCTGCATCACTGCTAGCGCGGAGCTAGCGCGAGCCTAGCGCAAAAAACTCCGTTTAATTTAACAAATTGTTGCCTTGAAAAACAAGCCCTTGAAAATGGACAAAGCAAGTCCTGGTGAATATGAAGCCCTACTAGCCCAATGTAAATCATGTATGTACAGAATACAAAATATACACCAGCATAGACCCCAAAGGCACCACAAAGCGGCACGCTGCACAGGCACCTGCGCCCAAGGTTTCAAAGCGCACGCTGCCATACACATCTGGCAGCGGCATCCTGCAGCGTCACCCTGCAGTGGCACCCGGCAGCACCAACACCCAATGCCAAGCTCCAGAGCGGAGACGGGCCAACACATTCAATCCCCCACAGCGCACACAGGCACCTCTCCCCATGCTTGATCGAAGTAAGAACCCGAATAGCTGTCGCTACCTGCGGGCAGAACCTAGCGCACCACGCACCATTCTCGTGCATTCCCCTCCATAATTTGCTTTTAAAGCAAACCATCACAAAAGTGATACAGTGATATTAACATTGTGTACTGTATAGATTTATAACTAACTTTTGGCATCCAAAAATCTGCGCACACGTGTGCGCACGCGTGCAAGCACATGCGCGCATGCGTGGCACGCCTACAATAATGGACATCTGGGCTGTGATGGGCATCACTGACAGGGTCGACTGGGGAGAACAGTTCGCCCTTTCCAAGTTACTATGCTACTCCGAAATGTTGCGCACGTTTCCACATGTACCTAGATATAAGGAAAGGAACAACGTACCAGGACTCTTCGTGTCCTGAGAACATGGGAGCAAGTACAGTACTGGCGTCTCCAATCCCAGACTACAGTATCGAATAATAGAATGTCCACATTTATGCAAGCCCGAGCAAAGTCCTCAGCAGCTGAGAAGGAATCCGCCTATTGGCAAGATCTAGATCACCACCAAGTGCTGTTCCTTTTGCAACAATGTTGCTTTGAAACAGGTGAGCCCACTCAATGTGCCACACGAGCATCACAACAATGTGCACACAAATATGTGCAAGCATGAGAACACCGCAGCAAGCAAGAGCCAAATCAACTTGACACCATGCCAGCAAATTAGTATGACAATATGTTTGTGTCTACACATCCGCATGACAGCATTGTACATAAACCGACACCATGTCAGCAAACCGGCGAGACAAGGCGTCGGCACGTCAGCATGACAACATGCTAAGGACAGCACGTAAGCATGATGACATGTCAGTACTATGCGATGTCAATGTGAGCGTAACAGCATGTCAGCATATCTACAAGATTGCTGCGAAGCTTGATCCAGAACCTGCTCCGGAGTCATTACTATAGCTGAAGACTCCCAAGCTTCGCTGTGGGGAAAGATGTTCTTCCCACACAATCCATCAATAAGGTCGAGAGTCGAGAAACTCTTCTCTGAAAAGTTTGACATCAAAGCAATGATCATTCAGCTCCTACTCTAGTCTGTCATGACCTCCAACCTTGTTGGTTTATCCCACACTGTCAGTTATTTCTAAGAATATCAAAGAATTATATAGAGTGGTTTCAGAGCAAAAGGCACAAACGCAGAGATTATACGAGGGTCCTTATAAACCACCGCTTGGGGATTGTGCCATCTACTCTGAAACCATCTGAAACCCCTGTATTCAAAGAAGCCCACAAAAGCACGCTGAACACGGAACACCAAGAGACATTCCCAAGCCCAGGCCCCTCTCTTTTCCTTGTCTCCAAGGTTCCGATTCCTTCAGCTGGGCCGCCGCCAACGACGTCTGAGGATCTAAGAGTCGGCCATCAGCAGTGCAAAGCTTCAGCGTCAGGAGGCCACCTGACTGCTTCGGCTGGAAGAAAACCTCAAGCCTGGGCTCAAGCCTCCAAATTTCAAAAAGAATAGACACGACAACTGAGACTCATGCACTTGATCTTCAGAAATTCTGCCTGTTTTCGAAGGTACGAACGATTCCTTCCGTCTCCTTCCGCGCTGATCTTCCGGCGGCGCCTGGACAATCGAGTGCCTTCTTGGCGGCGAGGCGCAGGTCGGCGACGCTGGAGGTCTCTGGCAGTGAGACTTCTTCCTCGGTCGAGTCCGGTCATGGGTGACCTTCCCAAGGCCCATCAAGGCCAGATTCGATGTGTCTGGTCCTTCCAAAGCAAACAAATCCCGGTGAACATTGGGTGACCTTGCATGACCACAAGAAACAGAATCACAGTGTCAGGTCAAGTGTGAGCCTGGGGAATGTTTACCAAATGGGGGTAGTTCATGAGTCAGTAACAGAAGTTCTGGGACATTAAGTTGGAAACCGAACATCTCGCAGAACAACATCCGATCATGTCCGATCATCTCGGATCTACAGTGGGTTCAGAGTAGATGGCACAATCCACAAAAGGTGCTTTATATGGACCCCCATCTAAAGACATGTAGGGGTTTGTGCCATCTACTCTGAAACCACTGTATCAAACTCCTCCAATATCACCGTTTTTGTCGCTGCAGCGGCGATGACGATCCCGTCATTTCATTGCGCACTGCGATTCCGATGAGAGAAATGCTGTGGAAAGGAGGAGGGATGTTGATTGACTCAAGTACAGTAGTTCCAGAAGCTGATTCGCACAGGCAATCAGTTATCGACAAAATCAGTTCTGCATTGTGAAAGTGTTGAGTATGAATGGTAATGGGCATAAATATACAGCCTCGCCCTCAATAAGTCACCTGCAGGCTGTGTGACCACCATCCCCTTGCGATTCCTTCGCCGTTGTACGAAGGGATCTCCCCATCACGGGATCGTCGAACCTACCGGATCATATGCTTTCTCCTTCATTCTCTGGGCTTCACCAGGCTTCGCCACCACGTCGCACGTGGCACGTCGAAAGCCAAGTCTCGCAGCGACCACTGGGCAAAGAGACCCTGACTCTCTGGCTGGGAGCCGCTTTTGGAGGACTCTCTGCAGGAGGGTACATGAGGCCGAAATCCAAAGCTCTTGATTCTGTGATTGTTGTGTATGAAATCAGCCAGTTTTCACTGATCATGCTGTGCCTGGTGCTGAGGAAGGTTTTCTATCTTTAGCGATTCTGAGAGTGCCTCCCGGACTCATCAAACATCCTCATGCTTTGAGTATTGAGCCTGATGAATCGCAACGGATCTTGCCAGTTGTCCCACATCCAGACTTGCAGATCTTGAGTCGTTTGAGGGGTCCCACAGTCCCACATCCGCCAGGGAGAATCCACACCATGCAGCGCAACCATGCGGAAACGAAGCCTGCCTGCCTCGACTGCTGAGAAACTGCTGAAGCTGGCTCAACTTCAGGTGAATCGCAACATTGGGTGCCGGATCTGATGGTTTGCGTCGTTCATTTGTGTCCCATGGCACTGCCCAATCTCCAACTTGGGACGATGAGTTGGGAGATTCAGAATGCCAAAACTAGCCTCCCACAGAAAGAGTCCAAGGGATCCGTGTTGAGGAACTAGCTACCGTTGTTTCTTGGGATCCATGATTCTCTCCAGTTGAGTTATACCACGGCACCCGGCGCGGTTGGGTACCTCTATATAAGGGGTAGTTGTCACACTTGCAAAACGTCTCCCCAAGCACTTATTATGAGATGAACGCATACGTTGTGGGACATCTACGCAAAACCATCAACAACCATTTAACTATACCATCTACAATATTTCATTCATTTTGCATGAGGTCCAATCCACCATTCACGGTCGGAATTCGTTCTCATCAAATTTTCGAGTCATTTCGAGTCCATCTTTCCAGCAGCTAAGACAACCGCTTTATAGACCCCCAACTCTATATTATATACAATTAGAGATTAGTAATTAGTAGATCCCCACTACAAATGTCTTGGAAACCGTGCCACTATCTATTGGGGGACCAGTGTCCACCACACCACCCGCCCTCTCCAGCCCGCTGCGATCTGGCGGACCCGTCCTGCTCCTGCGTCGCTCGTCCGGTGGAACTGCCAAAGACGATCGCGGCCGCTTCGGCGGGCTCCTGGTCGATCCGGTGGGACCTCGTCACGACCCAAGAAGCGCATCACCGGGCCGCGCTATAGGTCTGGGGCCCGAAAGCTGAAGGGAGGGCAGGTCCTCAATGTACCTGGAGGTGCTCTCAAATGTACCAACATATCCCACCCAGCAGTCAATGGTGACATGCTGATTGTTGGAGTCTCTAGCAAGATCCTTGCAGAGATGATTATACTATATATATATAGTTTTTTTCTGGGTGTGGGGATGAGCTCTCTTTAGATTTTAATTAGCTCGCAATCCACACAGCTCTTGTTTAGCCCCCAAACTTCGCAAGGACCACTTTCTCAACCTCCCAGGGTCCAAGACACTTCGGACCCGGACGCCCTTCGCCAATATCAACTGGCTCCCTAAACCCTGAAACCAAGACTCTACAATGGTGACCAAGGGCATTGCTGAATGAATAACCAAAATGACCACACCTGGACCTGCAAAGGGGGTTTCCAATGGGAATCCACTAAGTAGTATATGGGTATTCGTTTGGAGAGCCCGAACGGAAGGTGCTGGTAGGTGCTGCTCCGCTGGGCGGGGTGGAATCTCTTCATCCGAAAACAAACAGCCCACTGGTCCAAGCGCAAAAGAAAGTCATCCCACCTCCTCAAACATGTCTAGCATGAAGTCGCACTCCTCGTTTGAACACCGGTGCTCCACGTTTTCGGGCGGATCTTCAACCATGGTCTTTGCAGGGATGCCGCCCGAGGCCCTGGGTGTCTCTTGGCCTAGGGCCTAGAAGATTCCAGGCACCACAAATAGCTTGAAGAAGTACTGAGTGTGGCATGCGTGCAGTCGTACTTGTTTTCATACGGGGTCATATATCCCATGTTCACAGGTACGAATTGGAGGGTTCAGGTAGAAACAAAGAAACAAGCACTCCTTCAAGTCCACAGTCTGAGTGTGGCAAGTTTGCTGGACACCTTAAGAGTTCGATCAAGCGTCGCCAGTTCCCCTACAAACAAAGCCCCTCTGGTGCCTAAATTGCGGGAAACCCCAAGATCCAGGCAAACTTCCTGAAAAGAACCTTTAAGTTTTGCCCCCCCAAAGGCTTATTTTTGTATGTTGAAACCCACACACACATACACTGGAAACACAACTATGTCCCAAATCCGTTGCTCACATGCGTACGTGGTTAAAGACCTGGAATTTGGTGAATCCGAGGGTCTTTGGGCAACCGAAAACAACCCCTCAATGCCATTTCCGAGCATCAAACAATCCATGTCCATGGCTCCAAGAACGAAGTGTCTGTTAAGGCACACTCCGCCAAGCGCCAAAGTCTGTCTTGATGCTTTGCGGACTTTCTCCATGTTGGATTGTCTAAACAAGGGAGGGACTGTTGTTTCTATAGTGGCTGCTAGCATCAAATACCCTCTTGACATATTGCTCAATTCAATACCTGGTGTGATGTTTGCACAACTTGTTCATCTATCGCCCTAGTGTTCACATCCCATGCCTTTTCGACCCCAATCGACGGCCTTGCATCGGGCCTGCAACCTTTTTGCACGCTGCTAGGTTGACCAAACTATACAAAACCGTACTTGTCATGCACACCTTGGTTGCATCCATGCTGCCTTTTCATCGCACCCCTGCAAAATGAGCCCATGAACCCGATTTCCTCAGTCCATCATGTAGGCGATTTGTAGAGTCTTGACTAACAAAAACTTAGAGTCTTGATTTGTAGAGTCTGCATTAAATTCATTAGAGTTGACTGTATATACAAAAGCACGTCCTTCAAGTTCGTGGAGCACTTCACCTCGAGATCCACAATGCGTAAATTTATGTAGCTGGCCCAGCTGCAAATCATGACTTGGGGCAACACAACCAGACTGAAGAGTGGCAAGCCGACCAGACTGAAGACCGAACAACAGACTCAGGTGGAATCTTCAACCAACAAAAGTGCTTGAGAAGTGAGGACACACCGTTTCTCTGTATTTTCTTGCCAGACTAGCCTTGCATCGTTCCTAGTCCTGCGTCGTCCAAGCTTGTTCGTTGGCAGAACCATCGGACTGAACCATCCGACCCCCGACGAGACCCTCGCGCATGTGCTCACTCGGCATGTGCTCTCATGTGCTCTCTTGAAGTACAATCTCTCCACGCACATCTCTGGAGACCATATGTTTATCAACTCCTGAATCTCTCAGAACTTTCAAAGCGTACCACCACAAAATCGAAACAAGTCGAGAACGCGGCAACAGGTCCATCGTCGCACCTTTCTTTGAATGAAGCTCCGATTCCATCTTGCTGGGCTTCGTCCGGTGCTTCATGAAAGACCACAGGATTCCGCAGGCATGCAGGAATATATACGTATATGTTGACCTTCAAAAGCATTGAAGAACAAAACAGGTATTGACAAACTGCTGGGAAAATACAGCAGTCCCAAAATCAGTGGTACGATCTCAACCTAGATAGATTTATCTAGTTGGCAACCACTGGGGCAAGAGAAACAAACCAATTTCAACGCTGTTCCAGCGACACTGCCGGGCCTAAAAGTATCATAAAAAGACTGCAGACTCATGTAAGAGTTACAAGGGCTTCGCTTCATGTTATTTTGGGATCCCTAGCAGCCCAGCTCACCCATCGGATGTCCAATCGGGTGTAGTCAAACGAGTCCGTCCATGTGCCGGCGATCCCTTCGGATCTCGGGTTGATCGATTCATCGGGTCTCTTCGTCGGGTCTCCGAAAGGCTGCCCCACAAGGCTGCCGAAACTGAGCCAAGACAACTTGTCCCATCTATTGAAACACATCCACTGAGCCAAGCTTTCAGCTTAACAAACATGGTCAATCAAACACGAAGAAGTATGAACAAGTAGCATTTATGACTCCTCGAGGTCCTCACGGTGGATGGAGGAGTTCACCACAATTTGACACAGGTCCGGGTCCGGTACTCCATTGATTCTAAGCACCCCGGATCAATGGTGAAGAGCTGCTCCATTACCGGTAGAGTGGAATTGCTCTGGAAAAACTGCATACTTCCAGAAGTAAGCTCTTCGACAAACGTGTACATAGAGGATCACTACATCAACTGGCTATATCAGCTGAAGAAACAATCACGTGAAGACACATTGTTTTCCAAATGAATCTATTTGTTTGCAGTCTCCTGACTGCATATATTCGAAATAAGCACAACTGACGTGTCAATACCTCTGGGACTTTCGCGAGAATGCGACAAGTTCTTTGGAACAACACAGCACTGGACATTCCCAAAACGGCACTCTTTGCCATTGGTGAGACGCACAGGTGACAATGCTTGGTGAGACGCACAGGTCACTTCTTCTTGTGTTGCATGAAAGCAGTCATGCTACAGTACAGGTTGCTAGGGCCATTGCTGGTTGATGTATTTCACACACACACACATACTTCACTATATGTCGCGAAAACATGCAGTACGCCGCTACGCCACAGACTTCAACGACTGACCAACAACATCCACATGAATGCACCCACCCATCGGATTTCATATTAAGTTCCCTAAGTTTGCGATTGTGGGATCACCAGTTCATCCCTGAGGCGTGACACGACACTCAAATTCACTACCTTGTCCCGACATAGATCTCAAGAGAACTAATCAGTCAGTGATCGACATGATCTGACTCATTTAGGGTCTCCCCGCAAAAATAATGAAGATATCTGAAGAACAAACACCAACTGTTTGAATCACTTCTGGGACCCCCCCCCAAAAAAAAAGGAAGCAAACACAATACGCAAACAATTTACAAATGAAGATATCTGAAGAACAAACATACCAACTGTTTAAATTGTTTAAATCACACCAAAAAGAAAAGGAAAGCAAACATCAAGGAAAACTGTGTCACGGGTGCCGAAGACGTCACGGATTCGAAGACGACACGGATGTTCACTCCTCCGACCAGACAACTTGGGACACAACCCCTATATATTACTCGCAAAAGCAAACAATGGATCAAGGCAACACAGTAATGTAGACTCTTGATCGAACAAAATAACATCTTGGACCTTGGATTAACAAAACAAACGCTTCATGTTTTTGTTGTTTTCATCAAGAGTCTACCCTAGTTAGGGCCTATAGGGCCTGGAATGGGCTGCCCCCTGGCGCACCTGACCACTTCGGAAGCTGACCGGTGACCCCGGTGCCCGCTCAGCCGAACAGCTTCGTGAGGGTGGAGCGCTGATATTCCACGTTGTGCACCTCGTCCCCCCGGGTCGCCCGGTCGGTGCCGTGGTGGGACGACCGAAGCCGTGCCGAGGCAACTGGGGAACTCACTGGAAGTGCAGGCAGTGTTTGGCTGGATGTGTTGTCTTTGAGAAGCAGGCTTCTGGAGATCTGAATCTAGCAAACTCAACGGCACAAGCAACAGGTTTCGAAGAAGGCAAGCCCCTGGTGGTGCCATATCGTCTGGGAGGATAGCGTATCCGCAAGAGGATCTAAGATACCTGTAAGTCTGCTCCAATCGTGGTGTCTCTTCATCCAACCAAAGAACTAGAGTTCATCCTTTCTGACAGCATCCGTGCCGAAGACACCTTCCACCAAAGCATGTATACCTCGACCCCTTTCTACAAGCGTCTTTGGATGGTGGTTTCCTCAACAACACAATCCTTCAATGTGAATCTCATTAACATTAACATTGAAACTTGAAACATTGTACCTATATATACATAATCGTTCGAGGTTCCAGGTCTACGTGCAATTGCAATCTGAAGAACAGGACCCTGCCTTCGAGAATGCTGATACCTTCCTCATCTACTCTCACATGGCGACTCAAAGATCCCTGGAGACTTAGAAACCCTTTTATGTATTAATAATAACGACTGGAAGTTGGGACATGCCCAACATCACATAACATAACCCTACCTAGAAGATCCTTTGGGCAGAAATTCTTGCCTTTTTCGGGAAGAGCGGCTCTTCCCGTCCTGGGGCGGAAATCAGCTGTTTGCCGCGGAAATGTTTTTGTTGCCGCGAATATTCCCTTTCAGGAATCCAGTGAGAGGCAGAAATTTCTGCCCCGGGTGCTCTAGGTATAGTATCCCTGCCCTTCTGACACCCCACCACGTTTCCAACCACCCCGCATCCACCAAGGAATTCAACGTCCCGTCCGAGACCCACGACCGACGTCCCGTCGACCCTCCGTCGCACCTCGCGGAACTGATCCACCACCGACTGCAGCATCGCTGCCACACCGCCAGCGGCCTGAGGATACCAGCGGAGGGCCACACGTTTGACGGTCGGTTTCGGCGTCTTCCAAACAAAGGCCGCGGTGGGGGGAGTCGAACTCAACAGGAGCCCTATGAGAATTGCATGCTCTGGTTTGTAGTTGAAACTCAGAATTGCCTACCAGAAGAAATTGTCCAATGACAGTATTTTCTTTCTGGTGAATTGACTCCTACTTGTATAGATGCTTTGACTGAATGGATCCTCCGAAGCACATAAGACACAATGAACAATTATAATCCGCAGGAACTCACCAGTAGTGTTGCACCATGTTCAGGAATGCACTTAGGGTCCCATATGCCACATTCTTTCTGTCGATCAAACCGCAAGCCGAGCTACCAGTAGCAGTCTGCAGGAATGCAAGCCGTGCCACTTTGCTAGTAGTTTAGCCTCCAAATTAGTTTTCCAAGAGTGGACTCTTCATATTGGACACTAACATTGGAGGAATGAATGAATACATCATAAGACATGGTACTTGGCTCGATTCATGGATCTGCCGGTCAAGCAAATCGACAAATGCTTGGTTATCTCAAGCAAGAACAATGCACCTTGGGCGATATAACCCTGTGCTTCGGAGAATGTATTCTCCAGTTCTCCAGGTTTGAAGCTTGTGTAACATCTGGGTGGTTTATAGCCTATATAGCCATGGCCCATCCCAAAGCAAGAAGTTTCCGACGCTTCACCCCGCCAAACCAGGGATACAGCTCACTTCCACCGAGAAACAAAAGACGGCCCCAAATGCGATGATATCCACGTCTTTTGTGACCATGCTTCATCCGGTTCTTCTACCCATGCATTTCTACCCACCCGAATGGTTTTTCTACCGGGCTCTCCGAGGAACCCGAGCCGTCTCCCAGCCGTCTCCAACCCGTCTCCAACCTCTCGCATCTCTCGAAGGAAATCGATCAAGGCGATTTCTTCGATGCGGGCCTCGCCGCATGGGTGTCGCTTGCCCGTTGGAGGGAACGGGAGCGGGTGAACCCCGTCACTCACCGCGGGTCCATAGTAGAGCTGGGCCAAAAGGCCAGGAACGGATATCGTATATATTTATGTTATATATCCACAGGTGGAGCCACGGCCAGGC